ATCCCCTGTTGCCCATTCCCAGCTTCTGGCAAACAGAGGCTAGGGACACCATCCCTGCACACCCTGGCTAATAGTCATTGATGGACCTGTCCTCCGTGAATTTATCTTGTTCTTTTTTGAACCCTGTTATAGTCTTGGCCTTCACAACATCCTCTGGCAAAGAGTTAAACAGGTTGACTGTGCATTGTGTGAAGAAATACTTCCTTTGTTTGTTTTAAACCTGCTGTCTATTAAACTTCCTATTAAATATTGTTGATTCAATATTTAGCTAAATCAGTTTAACAACCAATGTAAATTCAAACCGGTATAACTTCCCCATGTAGACAAGGTCACACATTGGCCCGCCTAGAAAGGGTCTGCTGCTGGGGGTTAGCCCCAGAAAGAAGCCACAACGCAGATGTGTGGGGAAGACAACACCTCCCTTGCAAATCTGTGCCTTGAATGGGCACTGGGCCATGCAACTCACATCCAAGTGTCTCTTGGCACCGCAGCTGATTCTCCCAGATACGCAGCGATGTGCCGCGCATACGGGATGGCAGGATCAAATTCTCTGCGTCTCTCCAAAGGCTGATGAAAAAAGACTTGGATCTCTGCTCACATTTCCCTTTACTGCTGATCTGCCTTAACAACTCTGCGGCACAGCCAGGGAAGCTGTGGGATGAAACCCTTTTCCCTTCCTCCGTTTTAGTACCAGGAGGAGGGAGACCCCTTCGCTCACCAATAACTGGGGATGAGCACGCTCCGCGGTGTCATTCAGAAGCCCGTTTCTTCTTTTAGACAGAGACATTTGTATGTCATTAACAACCCAGCGCGGCTCAGTCCCCGCCTCAGCAGCTGCTGCGCTAATGTTGTCTTCATTCATGCTGTGGCAACCTCCAGCCACTGATGCAGGGGCCGCACCCAGAGAGGCATGTTTGGGCCGCACGTTCCCATGCCAGGGGACCCCCACAGGAGACCCACCCTTTGCGGTTTCCTCTCGGTGTCACATTCAGAGCACCGTGAGGGGGCAGGCAGGGGGCGAGACATGGGAGCGGCTGTGAAGATGGGGGGTGGGGCTGAGGCAGAAGACTAGAGATCAGGGCTCTGTGTTCAAGTCCTGGGCCTGCCATAGACTCTGACCTGGGGCTCCTACCCTCCAAGCTACTGAGACGTCTGAGTTCCATTGAACTCCCTGGGAGCTAGGGACCCAGCTCCTTAGGAGAGCCTGGGCCGGAACGTCTCTGTGTCTCAGGCCGGGAACACTTCGCTCTCTCACAGGGGTGCCGGGAGGTTCCCTTCGCTGTCGATTCTGAGGTGCTCAGTTGCTATTGCACTGGGGGGCCCAGTGAACAGGTTGATCCGGGCGCGGTGGGTCGAGGCAGCCCGTTCATGCTGACCCCTGCTATCCCTTTCCGTCAGCAGGGCCCCTGCTCCGTGACGGGGACTCTCTTAAGCAGTGCGGGGTGTTGCGATTGCTATCAGAGCTGGCTTGGCACAAAGGTTCAGCTCCCACCGGTGGCTGCCAATTCTGCAGAGCCAGCCGCGCTAACGCAGCGCTCTTCTGGCTTCGAGCCAGACGCCTGTGGGCTCAGCGAGGCTGCAGGCCTGGCACGGGCCTAGCCCTGTGTCTTTGCTAGCGGGATCATGCACAGAGCTACTCCCCCCCCCCACACACACACACACGCGCGCCATCATCTCAGCCCGAGTTCAAGCGCTTATCGCAGCCCCAGTGCCCACTCGGCACCGAGACAATAGACCCCCACACGCGGTGTGGAGAGACGGGGTCCCTGTTTGGGGCAGGGGGACAATTGCTGTGTGTTTGCTGTAGTACAGCAGCGCTCGAGGCCTCGACTGAGACCAGGGCCCCATTGTGCCTGGTGGACACAACACACATTCCTCCTCGCCTCTCTCAGACACGCAGACTCCCTGCCGCTCTCTCCTCAGACGGGCACCTCCACCGCGCATTTCCCCTGGAGATACTCACCCCAGCTGGGGTGACCCGAACTCTACCCAGGACCCGAGGTGAGGACGCCCCATGGCTGCTCGGAGCACTTGTGCTAATACAGCAATTGGCCCAGCTCCCTCGCCCCCCCCCCAGCAGAATTTTCTTTGTGGTAGAACAGTAGCAGCTGGAGCCCCCAACTGAGATGGGGGCTGGGTTGTGCCAGGCGCTGTCCGTGCGCATAGCGTGAGACGCGCCTGGCTCCAGAGGCTGGGCGATCTAACCAGGGCACAGAATGCTGCAAGGTCACATTGAAGGTCGGGGGCAGACGTGGGAGCAGGACGCAGGTCTCCTGAGCCCAGCGCCTGAGCCACCAGCCGATGCTGCTCCCTACAGCAATAGGAGGGGAAGGAGGGCGTCTCTCCTTCCTCCTCTGAAAGCAAAGAGGGAAAGCGCCTCCGGTTTTACAGAACCACGCCTCCGCAGACCCAATCGAACAGCCATTAGACTTAGCAGGAAGAGCCCCCCGGACCACAACAGGGCACGTTTGGACTGGGCTCCTTTTGTATCTTTTGTTGTTAAAAACCACAGAACCCTGTGCAAGAGGGAGAGGCCCATTCAGCGTGCACACAGGCCCTCCACTGATCCCCCCAGCACGTCTGCAGCTCGCACCATGCTCTCACTGAAATTCCAGGTGGCCTCGGGAGGCCTGGCTGGTTTGAGTTCAACTAAAGGGAGGGGCTCTCGGAGCAGGAGTTAGGGCCAGATGTGTCAACAACAGCACCATGCAATTAAACGCCCACTGTAATTATCTACATCAAACCCCACGGGGAAGAGCTGGCTTTGAAGGGGACAGCTGCTCAATCTGTTCTCCTAAAATCCCAGCCCCCAGAGCTGACTGGCAAACGCCGCAGGACAGGGTTCTTACAGAAACTCCTCTGGCACACCTTGCGAAGACAACGTCTCTCGCGTGGAGTTAGTAGCCAAGACGGTATGGCGGCCACTAAACTGGCCGTGAAGAATTCCCCTTTCCCTGCCCTATCGTACAGAAACAGCAAAGAAAAAACCATTCCTGCCTTTTGTTGCCCTTCTCTGAGCCAATCAAAGGGTAATGCTAGCCCTAGGGAAAACGGAAGCTTGCAAACTCTTCCCATCCGGCCCTTTTTGAATGGAGAAATCCCCTGGCCAGGGAACAACATACAGAAATATTTAGCTCTTAGGTTCTATTTGGACCATGTGAGGCTATGGACTCACCTTCACTTGGAACATCTGCACCAACCAACATAGTTAGAACTTTGTTGGGTTCAGGGCTGTTAATACAGTAACATCTTATGTGGACACGCTTCTTAGGGCAATTGGGGTAGCCAGATCCAGGCAAGACGACCCAGGCCGCAGCCCAGCAAAGCATGTGCACCACTGTAAGCCTGTGAGGCTCCCTACTGAAGCGAACGGGTGAAATTCTGGCCCCACTGAAGTCAATGTGAATTTTGCCTGTGGCTACAATGGGGCTGGAGGTTTCACCTGATGAGTTACAGTCCTGCGTGTGCTCAAGTGCCTTGCCGGATCGGGGCCACACCAGTCCTCGAAATGAGCATCATGCCCCTCCCACACCATTTGAAATAACGCCCCCCCCATCCCCCGCCGATCAGGCAACATGCAATATCTGACCTCCAGCTCCTGGAAATCCTCGTCTTCCTCCACGTCATAGGAGAGGGTGTGGATCTTGATGTCGTCAGCGGAGAGGTCGATGAACTTGCTGTCGGGGTACTCCAGGCTGTCCTTAGTGGGGGAGCGGTCCTCAATGAAGGTGGTCTCACAGCACTCGGCGCTCACGCTCTCCCCCCAGGAGCGCAGCACATTCTCCGAGTAGAGGATGATGTTGGGGCGGTAGTGGGACCCCACGGTCTGTTGGAGCGTATTGGGGTCCAGCAGCTGCTGCACCGGGTCGCTCCTGCTTTGAGCAGCGAGGTTCCCCACGATGTGGCTCTGGTACTGTGGGGCTGGGTACACGGAGACCAGGCCATCTCTGTTCTCCGCCATTAAGTTCCTGGTGTTAATTAAGCCATTCTTTTTCCCAGCTTCAGCGATTTTACTGTGCATTAACACACTGGTCTGTTCTAGGAGCCCATCCATATTGTTCTTCACCTTCCTCCCACAGGGATCTTAGCTGGTCACTCGGAAACACTGGTCACACTGGAGTAATGGCTCCCATTTTCCTGAGGGGGGGGGTGAAATAAATACTAACATGAAAATTAAATAGCAGGACCTCCCAAATCTGCATCCGACACCTGATAGCAGGTGTAACGACTGAAGCAATGTAGGCCCCGATCCTGCCAGCCGCTCCACGCAGAGAGATCGCCCGGCCCACCCAGAGCCCCAAGTGCACACCACAGCTAGCAGGAGTGGGGACTTCCCAGGCCTTTTCTAACCGAGTCCTTTTAAAGCAAGACTTTAACGCAGGGGTTCTCAACTGTGGGTCGGGACCCCGTTCTAATGGGGTCGCCAAGGCTGGTTCGACTTGCTGGCGCCCGGGGCTGAAGCCCGAACCCCACTGCCCAGGGCCAAAGCCAAAGCTCAAGGGCTTCAGCCCTGGGCGACGGGGCTCGGGTTACAGGCCCCTGCCTGGGGCTGAAGCCCTTGAGCTTCACCTTTGACCTCCCCCCCCCACCTGGGGCAGTGGGGCTTTGGGCCCCCCGCCCGGGGTCGGGTAGTAGTTTTTGTTGTCAGAAGGGGGTCGCAGTGCAATGAAGTCTGAGAACCCCTGTAGTTTAACACATCGAACAAGAGGGAACGCCCAAGCGACGGGCCCGAGCCGGCCCGGGGTTTACGCTTTCGCACTGAAAACACACATCTTGGAAGCTGGCCTGCCCTGTTCGCACAGAGAGTGTCGAAGACTCACCGCCCCTTTCTACACACTTCAGCCAGGCGCAGGGCCAGCGAGAGAGGCTTTGCTAGGAGGGATCCCGTGCTCCCCCTGGCCCCGTAAGCTGCCCTGAGCTTCAGAGGAGTTCAAAGCTCCCTATGGGTCACCACCTATCAATGACACCAGGGGGTGGATCATCTGAGGGGACCGAACCCTCGACCTAAAAGCAACAGCAGCTCCCACTTGGCTTGAGCCAAAGCACCAGGCCTGTTAGCTCACAGCCAGTAGCAGGCTTGTAACCGCTCATATTGAACCGCCATTAGAGGGACAGAGCCATGACGCAGGGTTTCTTGTGCCTCTGTCTGAAACCGCTGGTGCTGACGGCCATCAGAGACAGGATAAGGGGCCAGATGGACCAGTGTGGCAATCCCTGTGTGCCAGGTAGGACATGCACGACATACAGGTCGATTCAGGTCCTCCCACGCTGCTGATGGAGCCAAGACATCGGGTTCCAAGAGAAACAGCAGGGAACGTGGCGGCGTGCGGCGCGACAGGCAGGGATGTGAAAGGCAGGGTCCGTGCCCACTGCCTGGCTGGGGCCCATCACCCAGAATGTTTCACGCAGCGGGTTGCATGGCGAGTGCTTTTCACTCCACTCGCACGTCGACCACACAATCGCTGGATGGAGAATTTCCTGTCCTGGTGTGCACTCGCCACAGTCAAAAACACTTACAAGTCCACAAGCAAGGCGAAGTGAAAGCATCCATTGTGCTTGCCCAGACCTGACAGCAAATGGATCCTTGCCGAGCTCTCAGGGGTCCTGGCAGGGGCGCATTATCTGTTGAAATTTCAGCCTTTTGGTCTGAGGAAAAGGGGAAGGGCGGGGGGGCAGTTTCCCTTCAAACTGACTGAACAATACCACCTGAGCGCAAGGGATTACATCTGCCCCAAGGAGCTAATGGGACTCAGTTCTTCCAGAGATCACCACAAATCTATAGTGTGGGTCTGTGTGTTAATATTTCCATTGAGACCTGCACGCTAGCAGTTATTTTTTCACCCATCTCCAAACAATTCCTCATCTAAGGAGGCTGCTGTATATGGATGGAATATGGGTTTGGGGAGTTGTTTCAGGCAGCCCTGGCTTTCATTTCACAAAGGGTGTGTCTACACTGCCTTTAGACACCTGCAGCCAGTCCATGCCCGCTGGCTCGGGTCGCGAGGCAGTTTAATTGTAGTGTAGACATTCTGGCAGCAGGCTGAGCTCTGGGATCCTCCCACCGTGCAGGGTCCCTGAGCCCGGGCTCCAGCCTGAGTCCGTGTCACATTCCTATGTGCACCCCACAATCTGACAGAACTGCAGTCAGCAATTCTGTATGTTCAGCCACTGCCAGCTCTAAACCAAACCTCTCAGAGCTAGGAAAATGTTAGGGCCTAAGAGGCAAAGCCACACAGCTGCATGTTAGCAGCTTTGCTATCAAAATAAAAACATAAAACAAAACATTATATAATAAAGTCAATAAATAGCAACCTTGGTTTTAAGTGCCCCTAACATATTGTTGTTATAACTACAAATACTAAAAATGCTTTAAAATAATAGTTCATTAACATTTAAAAAATTGGTAACCCACTAAAATCACTAAAGGTTATGATTTGTTTGTCTTTGTTTAAAATTAGCTATAAAAATTAAATAAAAAAATATGCTTTAAAGCAGTTCGGGGAGCTTTTCTTCGGGCAAAAAGCTGACATCTAAACTGCCCATCAGCTGGACCAAAAAAAGGGCCCTAAAAACCCGGCTGGTGATCACTCCAAGCCGTCTCAAATGGAAAATAACTTTACCTAATATGTCCTACACCTATCGCGTATGTGTGCTTAAAATCTAATTAATAGCAGTTTTCAATAAAAGCACGCTTGCTTGTATCAATCATTTATCAGATGGATGAGCTGTGCCCGCTATTAATTTATTCCCCACACTGCCTAAAAAAACAAACAAACAAAAATTTAAATGACCACTGCTTTGGGTTCTAAAAAAACCTGGCTATCACCCGGGCATATACGCCACAATTGAATAGCCCCGCAGCCCAAGCCACCTAGCACAGGCCAGTCGTGTTGTCTAATTGCAGCGTAGATGTACCGTTAGTGTCAGTGTCATCAATGCTGCATGGGTCAGCCAGTGGGTCTGAACACCGGACCTACAGACCTGAAAGCAAACACACCTGCTGCTGGAGCTAAAGGACTAATGCCCGTACATGGGCACAGTCATAGCCTCACCAAGCTCTTATGCGACTCAGCCCCTAGAAGAGGCCTAATCGGTCTCTTCTAGCTAGTGGGGTTACATCAAGACAAGACAAGGAAAGCACAGAAACAAACATTCTCACATTCTGATGAGTTCTCAGTATCAGACATCATAACCTGGGCTAACCATTGTTCCCTGGATATTCCAGCTTTGCCCATTCCCGTCTCAGATAAAAAAAGTGTTCTGGTTCTCAGTAGAGCGAAATTTTTCAACCAACAATTGCCCTCTGCCCCGTGGCTGGCACCTGACACGCATTTGTCCACGCACACGGAGCCACCACATAGAAATGCCGACGGGAAGCCCCACAACTGGGGCATCGTTTGGGATAAAATGCGTACATCAGGCAGTGCCCAAAAATAATGCACGGGGTGGCCGCTGTTGTGCCGGTCACCTGAGTGGCTTCTCTAAGGTCGTGCGATCAGGACCCACACCTCCAGGAAGTCACACCGCCCAACAAAGAAAGTCTTGTCTGTGTCAGTAGCACTTGGGAAAAAGCAATTTCAAGCCACCTTATCTCTGCCTTCAAGTTCAGCTGTCAAATTCCCTGCCTGCTTGCTGTAGGTGCTAATATTGGCCAGATAACACCCAGCTCCAGGAGCCAGCATCTCATCCCGGGTTGTTATTTACAACAGCACAAGTGGGAGTGAAACGCTCGCCATCTCATCTGGCAAAGCGTTCAACACCCGCTGGATTTGCTCCACACAGCTGTGAGTGGGGACACAAAGCGGTGGAGAGTTGGGCCACTTACGGCAATGGCAAGATCAGTGGCATTATCCTCGGGAAAGCACCCAGGCTAATCCTGCCTCCATGACCATAGGGACAGCAGCTTCCTGGGCCCTGTCCACACGTGGCTAGGGAGTGCTCAGAGAAGCAGCGGGACCGGAGAATCTGGCAGGGCACCAAGCGGCCTAAATTTCCAGTGACCAGTGAGTCTGAGGACCCTACTTGAAGCAGCACAAAGGGCCCTGACAGAGGCAGGGCGTTCAGAACTTTCTGAAAACTAGAGCCCTTCACGGGTCTTAAGCTGGCCACTCCACAATTGAGACAGCCAAAAATCACTTGGCACTTTTGGAAATGAAAGCCAGCCTTCAATTCTTCTCCCATCCCAGGGGAGAAAAGAGGTGTG